AGCAATCTTTAATCAGTAGAGGGGAAACAGAAGAGTACTAATATATATCACCTGAATAATCCCCTGAATAATAAAGAACCACCTCAATTAGTCTTTTCAACAATTCTATGAGATCTATCATCCCCATTTTATGTATCAGGGACTCAAGGAGAAGCGTTAAATAATTCCCTCAAGGGGCGCCTGGGTGGCTTAGTTGGTTAAGCGTCTGACTTTCGCTTAGGGCATGATCTCGCGGTTCATGGGTTCGAGCCCCGCGTAGGGCTCTGTGCTGACTGCCAGCTCAGAGCCTGGAGCCTGTTTCAGTCTGTGACTCCCTCTCTCTCTGACCCTCCCCTGCTCGCGCTGTCTCTCTCTCTCTCTCTCCTAGAAGTAAATAAAACATTAAAAAAAAAAATTTAAAAAAAATAATTCCCTCAAGACCACACAACCTTTAAGTCGTGAAGCTGCTGAGATTTGAACTCAAATCTGTCTAACTCCAGATCCTGGGTCTTTCCATTAAACTCCTATTTAAGAAGACTAATATATTTAACTCAGTTGTACAATAATGAGTACACAGTACATTAAACTTAAGACACAAGGATGAATGAGACCTCAAAGACTTCACAAAGTAAGCACCATGCTACATCAAAAGTGCCATGTCAAACAGGTTATAATGAAAGCACACAGGAGGGGTGTAGAGCCAAACACTGGTCCAGATTAAGAGAACATGGTATCCAAGGTTCAGTACGAGGTTCAATACAGGTTGAGTCAGGAGTGGGAGGAAAGAAGTGAAGAGGAAGGAAGAGGAGGAAAAAAAATCAGAGACAAGGCTAGGACATTGCCAATTCATTTGTTCATTAATTTCTGATGTTGAAGTCCAATTATGTACTATGTGCCAGGCACTGTATTAGACAGGCATCGCAATGGTGAATGAAACCTAATCTCTGCTCAAGGAGCTTACAGTCTATATAAGGAAATGACACAACCACAACATACAGTGATATATGAGAAGACTGATGTATTCACTGGACATTAAGGTACTCCCTGACAGGAAGAAAGCAATTAGACAGGTCAATCAAGGCACAACATTCATAAAGATCCTTACGAGAGAGACTGCCTTATTCAGAGCAACAACAAAATGCCAAGTCCAGTTGCTAAATTTTACACTACAGAAAGTCTCCAGCTCCCCTCTTAACCTCAACCCAAACCATGGCTGCTTGAACCAAGGATGGACAACCAACCAAAGAGAAGACATACAGTAGGCTGTAAGAAATCTAAAATGTGGCCTTGCATATAATAAAAAAGAGCTGACCCAATCAGATTCTCTCACTCAAGAGGTATTCTTCAGAAGCAGAAATGATGCATAGAGAATCCTTGGGCAGAGTGTGGGAAACAAGTGGTCAAAATTTAAGAGGGTGAATAGATGCGATGAAAAAAGGTTGCAAACTGTGAGAAGGGACTGGGTCAAGCCCACAAAAGTGTTCTGTGGTCTGAATAGTGTATTATATTTTTTAAAATGACACCTAGCTTGTGGTCCTTATAAGGGAGAGAGAGAAGGGAAGTCAGAAAGATGATGGGAGCAGAAGAGGGAGGAAGAGAGAGAGGTGGGAAAGAGGAAGAGAAAGCGAGATTTGGAGATACTTATTACTGGCTCTGAGGATTGGAGGAAGGGTCACCAACTACAGAATGCAGGCAGTCTCTAGGTGCTGGAAAAGGCAAGGAAATGGATTCTCTCACTAGAGTCTTCAGAAACAAGACAACTGTGTTGACACCTTGATTTTAGGACTTCTAACCTCCGAACTGTAAGATAAATAAATGTGTCCCGTTTTAAGCTACTGAGTTCATGGTAATTTGTTACAGCAGCAGTAGGACACTACACGGGGGAACCCACTGATCAATCCTAGCACAAAGAGGCACCAAAGATACTGTGTGCTTTGCTATGATGCCACACGAGGCACACACTACCCACGAAGTACTCTTCACCAAAAAGATAAACCTGAAACTAACTGCTGTACATCTTTACAGCTGATTCCTTCTACAAGTAACACGGGGAGCAGAACTGTTTGGATGATACCTCAAGGAAGTAAACTGACAAATCCGCAACGTAGGACAGTGTTTACAGACAACTGACTAACAATACAACTGCAAGCATAAAAAATAAATAAATAAAAAGGAAGGAGGGAGAGTGAATTGCTCTAGATTAAAGAGACTTGAGAGACATAAGAAATTAATTTAAAAACATATTTCTAAGACAAGTGGAGAAACTTGAATACGAATTGAGTACTATTAGAGAGCATTATTAATTTTTAAGGAGTGATTATAGCCACATAACATTGTGATTATGTTCTTAAAGAAATTCATGCTGAAGTATATAAGAATGAAATACCATAATATCTGGGATTTACTTTAAAACAATTCAGCACATCGACACTAGGGCGGCTCAGTCGGTTAAGTGTCCGACTTCGGCTCAGGTCATGATCTGCTAGTTCATGAGTTTGAGCCCTGCGCTGGGTTCTCTGCTTCAGATCATCTGTCCCCTCCAAACTCTCCCCCACTCATGCTCACTCTCTCTTTCAAAAATAAACATTAAAAAGAAATTCAGCATAAAATGAGAAGGGGAGGCAGTTTCGATGAAACAAGTGGGGTCAGATCCTGATAATTATTGAATCTGGGTACTGTATTTACAGTGGACTGACCATACTCTTTTCTATAAAACTGCAAACAAACCAAAACCAAAACCAATTTGAATTATTTGGTGACATTTAAAAATCATGAGACTTCACATCAAACTCTGGATTTCTGACTTCATATGAAAAATTAGATGTGGCAACAAGGCCTACATCAAAGATTAGTACTGGCCACCCAAAATTAACAGTTCCCGCGTGTCCCTCATTTATCATCACTGCTACTGTTCTGAATCATCCCTGGTCCGATTCATTCATTTATGTTGTCTACCTCGGCATTTGGGCTTAGGGTCCCAGGAGTAATCCAATTAAGCTGGTTAGAAGCAAGAGAATGAAGCAGACATGGGGAGACCAACTGAGTGATGGCAAAATGCTGGCGTGTTGTTGAGGTGTCTCAAGCAGTCTTGGAGGAAGATATAATTCACATGAGGCCATAAAGCTGCATACACTATGCTTACTGTATTTATTAGGGGCTTACTAGAAGCAAGGCCAAATGCTTGACATTCTGGAAAATATGAACGTGAAAATAATTCTTGCCCTCAGGAGACTAACAATATAGAAATAACAATATAGAAAGAAAGGTAGAAAAACAAGGTAGAAAGACAAATAGCTACAATATAAGATGAAAATAAGTAACAGTACCCTAGTTAGGGTGGCTCATACCTAAAATGCAAAATGGGGAGTGACCAAATATATAAAGCTTCAGAAACAGATCATAAAGAGCACTACAGAGCATGTTGGGAAATTTAAACTTTATCAGATGAGCAACAGTGAACCACTGAAGGGTTTCAAAATATAGATACAAATCAGAGGGGACAACACTGGAGATGAGAGTAACATCTCTTTCACTGCTCAAATTCTCTTATTCTATGCACTATATCATTCGAGGAGCCAGCAGCATGACTCTCAAAACACTGTATGTAAACCTCTAAAAGTATACGATCTGGGGCGCCTGGGTGGCTCAGTTGGTTAAGCGTCTGACTTTGGCTCAGGTCATGATCTCCTGGTTCATTCGAGCCTGGCGTCAGGTTCTGTGCTGACAGCTCAGAGGCTGGAGCCTGCTTCAGATTCTGTGTCTCCCTCTCTCTCTCTACCCCTCCCCTGCTCATGATCTGTCTTTCAAAAATGAATATTTTTTTTTTTAAAGTATATGATCAAGCCTTTCTTGGTCAGACAGAAGTTTGGTATCTGAACAGAATAATAAAAGAAAAGGCTGCCGTGCAAACCCCTAAAAACAGTTTCTATCTCCCAAATAAAGTATAAATAAATTGCACCTGTTACCGCTACTGGGTCCCAACACCTTAACATAAATTATGGTCTTATTATACCGAAAGCTCCATTAAAAAGTAAAAAAGGTTTCTTCCTATTGAGTCTAAGACCCACTGTGTTTAACAAACTGCGAGCTTATCCTGAATGAATACAATCATCAAAGCTATACTGGTATCATGCTATATGAACCTTTCAAAGATAGCACTGGTCATCCTAATAGCAAAATGGGACCAAACTGGCATTACAGTAGTAGTTGCCACCATCAACGAATACTGTTGAAATTTTACATAAAAATTGGCCAACTCCAAACTCTGGGGTACCGTTAAAGAAAATATCACAGCCGGACCATTTTGTAACCAACAATCCACTTGAATCTATCACAGGTATTACAAATAAAAAGCAAGGCGAGGGTACGACTGCAGTACTCTCCTTTGACCTCGCTTAACTCCCCAACCAAGAATTCCGGCTCTGACATCAATTCATTCTAACACCTCCCCAAGCCTCAGTCTGCTCACGTGTAAAATGAAACCAACGTACCTACTTCACATGGTGGAGTACGAACTAAACAGTATCCTGTGTAAAGTGGCAGAGGCCCTGACAAACAGCTAATGCTCCATAAGTAACGGTTTGATTGTTCACAGAGAGCTTCAGCCCTTCCACGATTTTCCTGCAGGCTTCAGTGTGTCTTAGGCTACGAATCCCCACAATTACTCAACACCCAGAGACCTCTTCGGAGAAACAAATGACAGTTCCAGATAACTAAGACCGAAACACGTCTAGGACCCCGACCACGACCCGAAGTCGAGGCTGCCCGGCTCAGCTGTCACCACATCCGCCAAGGCCTCGCAGCACTTCTAAGGGTTCCCGGGCACTGGCGCCCGGCCCCGCCCCGCCAACAACAACACCAACCAGCCGGGTGAGGGGGCGGTCTCGACAGCGCACCCGTCGTGCTTTGGCGAGGCCAGGCCGCCCTCCAGGCCTCCGGCCGCCCTCCCCCCACCCCTCCCATCCTCGGCCTCCCGGGTCTACGTCTACGGTCTTCCCTCCCCGCGCCGCCCACTGCCGCACCTTGAGGTGGGTGCGCAGGCCGCCAGCGCCCCCAGACTGGTCGGTGATCTCGTACGCGCCCGTCACCAGCAGGTCCTTGTGGATCTCCTCGCGGAGGCACTTGCGGGAGTTCACGGGGAGATGAAAGGAGATGGCGAGCACCGAGCCGGGGCCGAGCAGGAGGAACAGCAGCAGCGCTGACGGGCAAGGGCCACGCTGAGCTCGTGGGCCAGACAAACCAGACATGGTGCCGGAGACCGTTCACCTCCTCGGGCCTCTACCACGCCGGAACCGGGAGGTCCCACGTGACTCACCCCTGCCCTAATGCCGTGAGCGCCATTTTGGAGACTGGCAACTAAACGAGGACTATATGATAAATCTCTTGAAAGGGAAAACGGGATACGATACCACGTCATATCCACAAGTTAAAATGGGTAGATGAGATTTAATAGACGCTTCCCTCAAAAATTTTATTTTTGTTAAGCTTAGTAACTGCTCAGTCAGGCGTAACAAGTGCGGGCAGCCCTGGAAGTAATTCTCCCTTAACTTCCGGAAGTAGTACCCGCCAATCTTTAAGGTCGGTGATACCATAGCAACCAAGCCCCAATAGGAAACAGCCACAAAGGCCCTTGGTTAGACCGGCCCATCAACCTCCAAGGCCCGCCGGGCGGGGCGCAGACGGATGTGCGTTCTCAGCACCTTGCCGTTTTGGTGACAACTGAAACATTGAGCTCTTGAGAAGACCGTTTCGAGAGGCTGAGCGGAAAGATTATAATTTGGCTATTAGGTGATCGGAGCCAGCATCTCAAATTAGGTGTATGGGTTACCTGGTGAATGTGAGCTGGGCGTAGGTCTAGATCATGCACCTGAGCATAGTAACTGCTGGAGTAACTGCTTTCTGAATGTGTATCTTAGTTGGTAAACCTTAGGCTCCTACTATGTTAGATAACATTCAAACAAAATTTGGCTTTCGTGTGTGTGTGTTTTTTAAAAGATTTTAGTTTTAAGTAATCTCTGCACCCAAGATGGGGCTGGAACCCACAACCCTGAGATCAAGAGTTGCATGCTCCACTGGACTGAGCCAGTCAGGTGCCCCTGTATTTTGTATTTCAATTGAATAAAACACACTATTTTAGTTCAGCCTGAGATGGAGCTGATTCCATTTACGAGATAAGCGTTGTCCGGTATGTTTTAAATGCATAAACACTTTAGGGATCAAATAGGCTAGTCTGTAGTAAGTAAATGTAGATGGTTATCACTCATATGTTCTTTTATCAAATATTTATTGAGTACCTACTATGTGATGATGGACACTATATGTGCATGAATACCAACATGTTTTGATTTAACCACTACTGCTATCAAATATTCAGGACTGAAGAAAATATGAAGATGAAAAAGGAATACTCAAGAGCCTATGTTTAGAATCATCTACTTTGATTGCTGTTCATTGAGCAGCTACAAAAATATCCAGAAGTTGGGACTATCTGCTTTTAGCAATTTAAATGATTATTCTGTATTTATAACTCCTTTCAGTCCGTCTAGTTCCTTTCCTGGAACTGAAGTCCCACAAACAAAACAAGAACAAATATAAAGGAGCTGTAAAGCATTTTAAAATTTGACAAATGTCATATAATAATTATTTTATGAGGTGTCCATTTAGGAACATTTAGTTTGATTATTTTGTCCCCGATCTAAGATAAGATTGCTAGTCTACTCAGTACATCCTCATAATTTGCATTGGCCTTTTCTCTGCCAGTACAGGGGATCGGTACCAAGGAGTTACTCAATTCCTTAGCCCTTATGCTCTACTGACCATCAGCCAAAGATTGCAACCCATAAAATCCTCTGTGTGTGTGTGTGTGTGTGTGTGTTTGTATGTGTATTTTAATTTCTATGTTACATTTATATAATAGCTTATTTAAATATTTTCACATAATTATCTCACTTGACATTTTCAAACACCATATGACATAGGCTGTCTGCTCATTTTACAGAAGAGGAAACTGAGGTTCTGAGGCCAAAAAGCTTTCGCACCCCAAATCCCACTGTTTAAAAGTGACAGAGTCGGTCTGAGGGCCTGAGCTTTCCTCAGGAAGGCACTATTATTTATTATTTTACAGATGAAGAAACTAAGACTTAGGGAAATTAAGTTACTTTCCTAAGTCACAGCCCATGTGTACTTTCTTGTCCTATATTCTCACTTATCCTGCCAACAACTATTTCCTGTCCTCCTTCCCTCCTTCACATTTTTCTTCATAGCACTCACCACTGTTTCATATACATTTTACCTATTTATCTTGCTTATTAACCTGTCTCCCTAGCTAGGGTATCTGTTTGGTGAGGTGCCAAGATTTTTGTCAATTTTTTTCACTGCTTTATCTTCTGAATCTAAAATAGGGCCTGATGGGGGACCTGGGTGGCTCAGTTGGTCGGGCATCTGACTCTTGACTTTGGCTCAGGTCATGATCTCACAGTCTTGGGATGAGGCTCCAAGCTGCACTTGGGGCCTGCTGAGGATTCTCTCTGTCCCTTTCTCTCTCTCTGTTCTTCCCTTGCTTTCTCTCCCTTTCTCAAAATAAATAAACAGCTAAAAAAGTAAATAAACTAAAAAGAATAAAATAAAATAGAGCTTGGTACTTAGAAGGCACAATAAATAATGGTTCAGTAAATGCAAGATTGATCCCTTAGCTCCTAGCAAAAGGCCTAACAGCAAATTCCTTCAATTATTCCTTAGCTGTTTTCACATGAATTTATTTAATCCATAATGTATCTAAAGTGTAGATACAATTTCAGTTTTAACAATAAAATGCATCTCCGGGGTTTTTTAAATTGAAAAATGTGTTATTGTTTCCATAGGGGGGGGGGGAATTCCCCCCTCTATGCTATGGAGCTAGAGGGCAGATAGATACTCCTCAGGAACCCAAACTTTTTAACTGCATCTGCATTAAAGAAGGTACCATTGTTCATTTGATGTGGGGGAAAAGGCCTCATTATGAACTGGAGAGCAAATGGGAAGTGTCCCACAACCAGAGAAAAATGTTTCTTCCTAGCCTAACAGTCTCTGCCATTCCGTCATCCAGACACTTCTCCTGCCAGACCCAGGTTCCCAAGATTCCCGAAGCCCCTGGGGCCTCTGGAGGTGAATAGATGCCACAAGGACACAGTCTTTACCCAGATTATCCCTAAGCCACAGGCTTTCCAACCTTTATATGAGAGGGAGCATGTTTAAAACACACCTCACCCCAGACAATGCATCAGAAGCTTTTATTAAAAATCTGCCTTTGTAATAAACTTGCTGGGTATTTCTGGGGTTAGAAGCCCTTGGAAGTGCTCTGCTTTCTGCCTTCTCAATGCCTCCTTTAGCCAGCGTAATCCTCCAGTGTGGCTTGAGGCTCCCCACCCCAATGGAGAGGCAGTTGAGAAATCCTAACTCTGGTGTCTCTGCCCATTTGTGTGTACAGTCCCACCTATAGTGTGTATTTAAACAGCTAACACAAGATGAGTTCTGTGAAGATACAAAAGCCCCTTTAGGAAAACAATTTGTCAATATTTGTCACGTGACTTTGATCCAGAGAATGATTCCAAGGACTTCTCTGTGTCCTCTAAGTTCTAAAGTCTCCCAAGACCTGTTCCTGGAACCTTTGTGCTACACTTGAGGGTGATCTCATCCAATCCCATGACTTTAAATGCATCCATAGTCTGCTATCTCCCCAATTCCCAAATGTGGATTTCCAGCTCTGACCTCTGTATCAGGCTTCCTACTTGACATCTCCAAACTGGATGACTAATAGGCAACTCATACTTAACTCTTCATTTCCCCTCTCCCCCCACTCCCAAATCTGCTTCTTCCCCATCTCAGTAAATGGCACCACCTTCTTCTTCTTCACTGAGGCCATCCTTGTTTCCTCTTTCTCTTACCCCCTCCCCACACAGAGCCAGTTCATCAGCATGTCCTACCCATTCTGTGTCCTAAATATATGCCAGTCAGTTTCTACTTCTCTCTAAGCCAGGGGTTTGCAAACTACTACCCAAATAGTCCAAATCCAGCATGCAAACTCCTGTTCTTGTATCACCCAAGAGCCAATAGTTTTTACATTTTTAGAGGGTTGTCTAGAAAGAAGGAGGAGGAGTGGGAGAGAGAGGAGAAGAATGTATTATGACAGATTATGTAGCTCACAAAACCCAAAATGTTTACTGTGTGATCCTTTACAAAGAGTTTGCTTCTCTCACCTAGGTAGTAAAACAGCCTCCCTACTGCTGTCTCTTCCTCCATTCTTGCCCCTCTATGCTCCTTAATGTACCTTTAATGATTAAAGAAAAAAAAAAAGTAAATCAGATCAATCAGAATAAAGCCCATATACCTTATCACAACCCAAAAGGCCACTGTGGTCTGGCTCCTGCCTACCTCTTTAATCTCATTTTATCCAGTGTTCAATCCCTCCCAGCACCCTCCCATTCACTCTCCTATCTATAGTCAATGGCCTTCCAGACAGTTTAAACTCCTATCTGCATCAGGGCCTTTGTACTTACTGTCTACCTGGAGTGTTCTCTCCCAGATCTTGTCCCATGGACTCTGGACTCTGCAGGCTGCTCTTCATCATTCAGGTCCCAACTCCAATGTCTCCTTCTAGAAAGCCGACCCTGCTTAAGTAACACTGTCCCCAGGTTATTGTCTATCACATGATCTCGTTTTATTATCTATACTCATTAATAATCAAGAACATTTTTATATTTCTTTTCTAATTAATTTCACCTAGCCCTACTCGCATTTTAGCTCTAAGAAAGCAAGGTCTTTGTTTTTTGTGCCTGATATATCCCTAAGCCAGGTACAATATCCTGTACATATTGGGTGTTTAACAAATAATTGCTGAATGAATGAATGAAAGAATACAACATAAAATAAAGCACTTAGCACATCAGCATAGAGCAGTTGCTCAATAAACACTAGTTCCTTTTTACAGTATTTTAATTGCCATTTTTCATATGGAGAAGCTGAAGTTCCAAAGATGTTAAGTGACTTGTCTCAAACCATACAATGAGTCAGTGTTAGAGCTGAGAACACCAGTTTTCAGACATAGTTGTCATTACATTTGATTAAACATGGCAATTATTATTTAGTTCCCACTCCACTGAGAAGTTTTAGATTCCTTTTTCTATTCCTCACTTATATTCATAATACAACTTTTGTGGGTTTCAAGTGAATTTAAGTCTTCCAGACTTTCCATGAAGAGGTCAACAGTTGATGTGAAACTGGTAGCATCTACTTGCATCTCCCCTCAATTCACTTGCTTGAAAAA